ATAGCCCCAACCATCGCTGTAGGCCTGCAAACACTCTGGAGGGCTTCCTTCAACGGTTCCTTTATGGGTTCCTTTAAGGGGGCATGTGCCCATACGACATCCCCCGCTCCCCCCCTCAAAGTACTGATACCGGAACCCCTCCGGAAGGCCTTAGTCTATATAGTATTTTAGTATAGAGAGGTCTTTGGGGGGGAGTTTGAGAGGGGAGGGTTTAGGGTTTACAGAGACACTTTGGGAAAAGCTCGGGCTGAGTTTGAGGGGGGGCACATCATAGGGTTTAGGGTTTAGGGTTTAGGGCTTAGGGTTTAGGATATAGGGTTTAGGGTTCAGGGTATTGGTCAGCCACTCCTGCTATGAGGGCTTGCGCAGGTGCTAGGCGGGTTGCATGTGTACGCGGCTTAGTTTGTAGAAAAGGGGCTGTGTGCAAGCTCGTGGTCGTGCATAAGCCCTGAATCTTCCAATGTCTCCCTAAAATCCTCTGCAAAGCCCCACGTAAATAGCGTATCCCTTCGGTTGAAAGCCCCTGCCCATTGACCTCGTGTAGCCTTGCAAGCCCTAAGCGCCAAAGCACCTTTCCCGTCCCTATCTTGTGTGGTCTAGCCGCGCCCTGGCCCATGCATTGAGAGGTGAAGATGTTACCCGTCTCGATAGTGTTCTTCCTGAGGGGCTATGGGGGTTCGTTTGGCGTCTCGGGTCTTAAGCCCTCAACCCTGTACCCTGTAAACCCTAAGCCCTAAACTCTATAAACCCTAAGCCCTATAAACCCTGTAAACCCTGAAGCCCAAAATCCTAAACCCTATAAACCCTAAACCGTTTCAAGGTCCAGAGGTCACAGGTTTAGGCTTCAGGGTTTATTGGTTCAGGACTCTTCGGCCAGCGTTTTGGGCGCCCAAAATAGGACTCGCAGTTTTGGCACCTTTTCAGGGCTCCTTCAAGAGATCGGTTTTGGGTTTAGGGTTTCTATGAGAGTGCTATTTTGGGTTTAGGGTTTTTGGGTTTAGGGATCTAGAATTTAGGGTTTAGGGATTTAGGGTTTAGGGTTTCTAGAAGAGTTACTATAGGAATATACCAAAATACCGACTTCTATGTCGAACGACCGGGCACCCTTATTCGTATGATCCAGGTTACTGGTTGCAAGTATTCACAAGCAACTGTGCGTTAAGAAGACGAAGAAGGATGATAATAGACGATCGTAGTACGACTACGGTTGATGATATAAATCCTGCATGACCTTAAGGACCCTAAACTACGGGAGTTGTGGTGCATTCCTTATTATGGGTAGCGCAGGATCTATATATCATCAACCGCAGGAACCCCTAAACCCTAAACCCTAAAGCCCTAAAATCCAAAAACCCAAAAACTCTAAAACCCAAACCCTAAACCCTAAAACCCTAACCCCTAAAACCCTAGACCCCCACCTCAAAGGGAAGACTCGGGGCGACTGCGTCGGAAAGGACTCCTAGTCCTTTCGGGGCCCGGCGTGATGAGAATACTTAAACCAAAACAATAGTAATTCCTACAACTCCTTAAACTTGGGTTCAGAGTTCAGAAAGGGTTTAGTTTCGGGATCCTTAAGTCTCTGAGGGGCTCAGGGTTTTCGGGGGGTTTTGGGTTTTAGGGTTTATAGGGTTGTTAGGGTTGTTAGGGTTTTTAGGGTTTTAGGGTTTAGGGGTTTTAGGGTTTTAGGGTTTTAGGGTTTAGGTTGTAGGGTCAACACCATAACCTCATGGATTCGAGGTGGAGGCTGTCCTGATAATCTCAGCTCCCTCGACCACCTTCAGCGTAGTCTGCTTGTAGCCGTCCTGATAGATGTAATGCAGAGGCCTCAATATAAGAGTAGACTTCCCTTTTAAAGGGCTACTATAGGGGTTTCTGTGAGTTTTTCGAGGCCTAAGGCTTTCCGTGCTTGAAGGTTCGGCATTCTTTTCGATGAGCTTTTGTATGGTTCTTCATAGGCCAATTACACTAGGTTCCCCAGTAACCCCTTAATAATAAGGGTACCCTTTTTCCTAATATTCGGCTTTAATAAGGGGACCCCCAAATAAAAAGGGCAAAAGGGTACCACTGGGGAACCACATGTTGTTCATGGCAGCGTTGAGGGGGGGGGTAGTACAATGATGCATGCCACGTAAGATCTAGGCCAAACCCTTAAGCCCGTCTGTAGAAAACCTTAGGAGACGATCAACGACGCCGTAGACCGTCCATGAATCACTGCTCAGACGTGCTGTAAAGGGATGTCTAGGGACTAAATACCCTACATCCTACACTCTAATAGTGGACCACCCACAAGTCACCTAGGTTCCCCAGTGGCCCCTTAAGGATAAGGGTACCCTTTTACCTACACTATGTGGCTTTAATAGGGGAGCCCATAAAGGAAAAGGGCAAAAGGGGTACTGCTGGGGAACCTAGTCATTTAGGGTTCGCGGAGTGTTAAGTTTTTGAGGGAAACTCTCCTGAAGATCTAGCTCTCTCGCAAGATCCATGTAAACTCTCTTTTCTTTTTTGCAATCCCTATTGAAGCCTTACCAAAATCCATGATCGCCCGCGCCCAAGCCCTCAGAGAGCCTCTAAAGAACCCGGAGCTAAAATTCTTGCTGAAATCCGTGAACCTTGTAAGTTAGACTCCCGAAACCCCAAACCCATGTAACACGAAACCTAGGCCCGAAACCCTTGAAAGCCCTGAGGGGGGCGCCTTGATCTGGATCAGCCGGGCCGCGTCCACCTCGTCTAGCGGTTTGTCAGGGTTCTTGAGGGTTCTTGAGGTGTTTGACTTTTACCTCCCTAAACCCTGAACCCTACAAGTGTTTCGGCGATATCTAGGGTTTTGGGTAGTTTGAGGGGAACCTAAGAGACCTTATAGGGTCTTACAAGAGCTTTGTACGGATGCCATTGGGTTTTGAAAAGGTTTACGGCTTTACAGCATCTTTGAGGGGGCCCTAGCCCTGGTTTAGGGTTTAGGGCTTCGTACATGGCCCTGGAAACTCACTTTCCGGATTCCAATCCATCGCTAGTTGTCATCGGAGTGTAACATACATGCCGTTGAGTCTCTGGCGCAGTCGAAGACTCTCATAAAGCCCCGTACAGAAGCCCTGAAAGAGCCATCTGGCAAGCCAGAGAAGAAACTGTGTCAGCAGGTGATTGCTCAAAGATCTTTTGTTGAGGCGAACTCTTAATCGAACCTTTTCAGAAACCCTCCAAAATCCCCGACAAAACCTATCTATAACTCCTCAACGAACCCTTCTGGAACCTGTTAAAGCAATATTTTTCATGTAAGGAAGACCCTAAACCCCAAAACTCTAAAACCCTAAAACCCTAAAAGCCTAAAGCCCTAAAACCCTAAAGCCTAATACCCTAAAACCCTAAAACCCTAAAACCCTAAACCTTAAACCCCGCAGGAGCCCTGCCAGAAGCCCTGAGCGGATCAACCTCCGGGAGAGCCAGTGGAGGCAATGTCGGCAGCTCCTGCTGGCAGGTCTCATGGGTTTTTGTTCCGTGGATGTGTTATAGTAGGGTTTCGGGTTTAGGGTTTCGGGTTTAGGGTTTAGGGCTTTAGGGTTTTTGTTCCATGGATGTGTTATACCTATAGTCTCCATTGTAGTTCCCTTTTTGGTTTAACCAAATCTATACTAAGGATCCTAAAAGGTAAACCCCAAAAAGTAACTACAATGGAGACTATGGTTTAAGTAGTAGGGTAGCTTTAGTTAAAAAGCGCACCATAAGGGACTGAAAACCCCCACTTATAACTACCATTAACTACCCATGAACCTCCAAGTGGGCGGATGGTTGCGCGTCTGCAGTTTCTGTTTGTGCAGGGCTTAGGGTTTGGGTAGGATTTGGCTGCAGGGTTTAGAAGGGCTTAGGGTCGAGGGCTTAAGATGTAGACTAATGGCTTCTGTTTGCAGCTTGGGCTGAGGGATAAGGGCTTATGGCTTATGGGGTTTAGGGGACTTGGGACTTTGTAAGTTTGCGGCAGAGAAAGCTTCGACTGTAGATTCGGACCCTTGGGCACCAGTAAGGAAGCCTGAACACACGTGGCACGAACAATTGCTAATATCAGCAGCACTCCCATGAATTCCCTAAGGTTCCAGTTTATCCAGAGACTACCCATAGGCCCCTAAGTAGTTCCCTTTTGGGGTAACTTTATAGGATTCTAAATATAAACCACAAAAAGAAACTACTGAGGGGCCTTTGGGTATGTGAACCCTAAACCCTAAACCCTTATACCTAGCAAAGCAGAGTTTATGCAAAGACTAAACAAAGGATCCATCATCGAGCTCTTGGACCCGATAGCACAAACTGCAAAGGGAGAACCCCAAACCTTTGGAAAACTTTTATAGCAAACGGAACCCTTACTATAGGGGCCTTAATAATTATAAGTAGAATAGGGTTTTGGGGGTTCCTTATTATGATTATAGTAGAATAGACCCCCAAACCCAAAAAAGGCCCCTACATTAGCAAGAGATGCGATAGGCAGTAAAAACAGTGTACGCGGTGAGACATGTGACCTCCCTCTCATGAGACCTTCCGTCGCACAGTGTTGGCTCAGATTCACGTCGATACGTCTGATGTTCCAGGATTTGCTCCAGGGGTACAGCGAGAATACAGGTAGACAGACTGGAAACTGGAACAGATTGGCTCACCGTTCAGGCATTGGCGCAGTGCGAAAGAATCGCCCTGCTCCTCTGAGCGCCAGAATTTCCGCTGGCATGTGATTACGGTCCGGAAAAACCCACATGTGATTGTCTTGTGGTCCGTGGCAGAGGATGCTTGCAGTGAATTTGCGTGCCATTTGGTGAAGCCTTGTATTTGCCCGTCTTTGGTTCAACTCCAGCCTTTTCCAAATTTTTTTGGTCTTGTCCATTCGTGTTCGCACACAATGAAGCAACATTCATGGCTCTCATGGGCCATGCTGTGGTCAGAGTCTCAGTCGCAAAGGGGACGCAGCAGTGCGGGGCTTTGGGGGTTTCGGGACTTTTCATTCCAATCTTGCACTGAGGGCGATGCTGCCCGCGGCTGCTGCGATGAAGCTCGCACAGGCAAGGGGGCAATCGGAGGTCTCTAAACCCTAAACCCTAATTAAACCCCAAACCCTAAACCCTAAACCCAGTACTGTGCTTCGGTTCTTGGTTTGCTAAAAGAGCGGCAGGAGTCGAACACCTCTTCGAGCCTTCGCAGCTCGGCTCAGCTCGCTGGAGCGGAGGTTCACGGTGCTCTCATCGATCGCTCCTCGTCTCACAGGGCCGCCTCCAGACAGCAAGAGCTCGATGCCGCGGTGTCAGCAAAGGGGATCCCGATCGTCTCCGATGTGGGGAATGCCATGGCCTCAGGGGGCGAGGCCTTCGTCGACGGCGTGTCCTCTGGAGCCGAGGTGGTCGGCAACGAGGTTGTGAGTGCCGGCACCCAAACCCTGAACACGCTTGAGGATGCAGGCATGGCGGTGGGCACCGCTGCCGCAAACGGAGCCGTCGTCGTCGGGAATGGAATTGCGGAAGGGGCCGAAAGCACATTCAATGCCGTAGCACCGCACGTCGTGAGCTTTGGGAACAGCCTGGGAGAAGCAGCAGTGTCAGTGGGCAACGAAGTGGCCGAGCTCGGGGAGAGGGTTGTAGACGAAACGGTGACACTGGCAGGTACGGTATTGGATCACGCCAAGAAAGGGGTTGAGCAGGGCGCCAAAATGGTCAACAAAGTCGGGAAGGCGATTGGCGACAAGATGACAGAGCTAGGAGAGGAGGTTGCCAAGCTTGGGCCAATCATTGCAGGCCTGGCGAAATCCGCCTGGAATGAAATCAAAGACTTCGTCAGCTGCCTTGCAGAAGGCTTGACACTCTGCTCCGTCTTGATCGGTGAGTATTGCGACTGCAACGCAGGCAGCTACATCAAGTTTTCGACACCGGGTGTGCATTTGGGGATAACCTCTACTACTCTTGTCCTAGGCTTGTCTGTTCGAGGAGTGTCGACATCCATATTTGCTCAGGACCGACAGCATGGACATGAGATGCATCTTCAAGGTGAGCGCTGACTTTGGGAAGGGCTACGGGGTGACAGCGACTTCCGGGGGGCAGTTCGGCGTGATTACCGAGAATGGCCGGATCACGCTTCCTGGAGACGAGCTCGAACAAAGCTTCAAGGCGGCGGGGTCACCCCTCAGAGCCCGCAAAGCCATGGACGACTATTTATCGCCCGCACCATCAGGGTCCTGTGAAACCAGCTTGGAGGTGGCTGTTGATGGCGTGGTGCAATTTGCACCGGACCTAATGGTCACCGTGAACACCGATGGCGACACCAAGATGACGATCAGTGGGAGCGTTCGCTCATCGTTTCTCGTTCCACAATGTTTTGTGATGCGTCCTAAGTTTTCCAAGGTCGCCTTGTTGACAAGAGATACAACAATCGAACTCTGGAGTTTTTTGCCCGGCATCGGGCCGTCTTGGACCCCTTAGGCCCAGGACAATTTGCTTTAATTGCGCCCTGAACGTTGCGCGATGCTCCATTCCACGCCTGTCCTGCTACCTACACGGCAGAATTACATCAGGATATAATCCTTCTCCCCACGCTACCCCAACCCTGGACGACAATTAAATCAAGATTTATTGGATCTGCATCAATGACCAGACCTGAATGCAACTAGATCCGACGTTGTTTGTCTGGAAGAGTTGGCAAGAACGAAACGATTAAATCATGATTTAACTGCCTCCCAAGACCCTTGTTTCAGGCTCAAGGTCTGGACTATCCTAGACTTCAGCGAACCCCAGCAAGTTGGTATGAGTAGAGGATCATTCGCGTTAGGATTCCTTACACTCTACCTTGAGGGCAAGAGGATAGTCGTGTTCCAACTTTTTGGTCTTCTATCATAGGCCAGGCGGGGCGAGCTGCATCAATCAAGAGATCGTCACTGCACGTTTGGAAATTCCGAACATCCCCAGTTAAATCATGATTTGATTGCGCCCTTTGCTTGCTCTATCTATATCTGAGTCTCACAAGATACCCACGACATGTTCGGACATGGCTCCCAAGATTTCCAAATAAATGCTGATTTTACTGTTGGCCTTGAGAGTCTTGAACTGGAAAGTACGATAGTCGTAAGTGGGTCTAAGAAGATCCACGCGGAAGGTTCGGAGCTTGCAATCCCCGAGCCCAATAAACCTGCGACCGGTCATTGTGACGATCTACTTATTCGGAGAATCTTTCCTTCGAACGTGATAAGAACCATCTACATTACTGGTGGTTACCAAGAAGGAAGTCAAATTACGCAATGAAATCATGATTTAATCTTGCATCCCGCTCGCGAACTGGCACAGGTCTCTATTCAGATTCTACTAGCATGCAGCGAGACAGGAAAGTCATGATTTAACTGGTTAGTGGACAAATGCATAGACAAGCATGTGTCTTTGGAAGGTCCAAGGTAGGTCAAAACCGAACCATTAAATCGAGGCTTAAGTTTATTTAACTTCTGGTTTCTTTGCGTTTCATTACTTTATGCAGACATCTCATCTGGAGCTAAGCTGGCACGGGCCCAGAGCGCACCCTGCCGAGGATTGATTCCCTTGTCAGGGGGCAGGGCAGCTGCTCCTTCACGGCCGAGAAGCGCTTTCCCAAGAAGCCCCTGAAGAAGGTCATTTGCGCCAAAGCCTTCTGCCTGGTCATCGCACTACAGATGGTCGCTGAGCTGGAGATGACAGGCACGCTGACCGGAACCATCACGACCTCCTCCGAAGTGGACTTCAACATCTACGGCACGGTGGACGTCAACCCCAAGGGTGAGGCCGATGTGTCCTTCAACACCCCGGAGATTACGCATCAGGACCCCAGAAATTACCATCTTCGCCGAGAGGGTCGTAGTATCCTCGTCATTAGCCCTCTTTGGAAGAGTCGATGTAGGTCCGCAAGGCCATGGCGACTGAGGCTTTGAAGCCCTAAATTCCTTCACCCGAAGCTCCTTGCGAAAGCTTTTGATACCAAGTTGGATCTACTCAATCTTTGAAACCTGGCACGGCCTGCAGTGTACAGACGTAAATCATACCCACTCAACATGAAAATGGTGCTAGGCAGTCTGCTTGTCCTAAGCAGGGCTTAAACTTGGGGTTCACGGATCCCAACCCTACTAGTTCTTCAACGGAGATTAGGAAAGTGCACAATACGTAAACTTTTCCCCGAAACGGGGCTCTTGAAAGGAGGGCTGGGCGATTGGTGCCAGTGCATTGGCCTCGGTGCGCGTGGGCGCCGGACCCGTCCTCACGGCCACGGCCTCTTCTTGGGCGGCGTTTTGTTAATTCAATGCAGCAACTTAGGATAAGTTAAGGCCACTAAGAGGGCCTTGCGGGATATGGTCGGCTCAGAGTTTAGCTGCCAGGTCTGGCCCATGCCCGGTGGCTGGGCAATTCTTGGCAAGACTTGCGTTTTTCTTTTTCACCCGAGCGATGCCGGCCAACCAGTTCAGCCCAGCTGCTAGACCCTCTGAGCTGCCAAGCCCGAAAGCACCGACAACCCGAGGCGTGCCCGTGAATTTCAAGCCCATGTTCAACGCGCAAGCCCAAGCCCAGGGCACTCTGGAGTACAAGTCGTACGTGTCACTCCTCCAGGATTTCCTTTGTCTCTTACCCCCTCTTGTTCTCCCTCGCATTCTCTCAGTCTCCTTCCTTGTTGCTGTGTTTCGTGTTCCAGGACTCCCAGAGTGTCCTGGCTGGGACAGACTCCAACATGACCTCCGTCGTCAGCGAGAACATGACCTTGGAGAGGGCCCCGAGGGAGCTGAGCATGTGCAATGCGGCTGTCCGAAGCTCAGCCTTCCCCACCGATTAGGATGGCTTACATTGGCTCAGAGATGCTTAGGGCTTAGGGTGTAGGAGCTGGTGTCGGGGTGTTTGGAGTTGAGGGTTCAGGGTCAGCTTGCAGGCGCTGTCAATCTACGCCGACGCGGACATCACGGCCTTCGCGCTGCCACCCGCGATCCGGGGCCATTTCTCGACCAATGTCATCAAGGAGGCCCTGGAGAAAGCTGTGATGGCCGGTGCAACAGCCCTGTTGAACGTAATGAATGGCGTGGCGAAGTGCGTGCCGGGCATGGACAAAGTGACAGAGAAAATAAACGCCGCGGCCACCGCTGCCAAAGGCGCATTGTCGTCTCTCATCCCCAGCCTCAACCTGGACTTCAATCTGAAGTCCATTGTGCTGATGGCCCCTGAGACGTTTTGGTGCAAAGAGGTCTACACGACACCTGGCTTTGATACGGCTCCCTGTGCGGCGGAGCTGGGGTGCAAGACCGCCGGCCGTTCCTCCGAACCCGGGAACGAAGTGCCTCCTCCCGAGCAGTTCGAAAAGGTTGAAAGGCAGACCGAATATTCGTCGAAATGCTACGATATCCCCATGGGAGACAACTTCATTCAGCTTGGAGATTGGCGCTTGGCTGCCATTGACTACAACCACTTCTCGATCTCGCACAGGGAGCTTGGCTCAGTTGCTGGGTTCCTTTCTGCCGTACTGCAAGGCCTTTCGGGGGACCTCACGGTAGGAGGATTGTAAGCTCCATCTTGCACCATTCAGGGAATCAAGACGGCGCAAATCTTCCGGAGCGATGGCACCCTTCACCCCGGTCCTCGCAGTGACTGGGGCGCATGGCACTTGAGCCTAGTCCGCAAGAGTGTTTGGAGTGTAGGGTTCATGATTCTAGTCATAGTTGTCATTCTTCTTGCAGTACTACTTATGAGAGTAATCATCATGGTCATAATGCTGACAAATAGCATTCGCACACTCCAAACACTGTTCCAGGTGGGGATGCAGTCTCCAGTTGATACAATAGTCCTGGAGGCGTACTGTTATAGTGGATGCTAGGCCAGCTTCGACCGCTGTGCGGTATTAAGCATGCGAGTCATGACGATGATGATGATGATGGTGATGGTGATTGTGCTCATGTTGATGGTCATTGTACTGGAGATGGTGATGATGTTGTTGTCGCTCTTGCCAGCACTGGTGCTGGCACTGGTGCTGGTGCTGCTGCTGCTGCTACTGCTGCTGCTGCTGTTGCTGCTGCTGCTGCCGCTGCTGCTGCTGCTGCTGTTTATCGTGCCTGTTGCTGTTGCTCTTGCTCTTGTTCCTGGTGCTGGTGCTGGTGTTGGTGCTGCTGCTGCCACTGGTGCTCTTTCTGTTGATGCCCATTCCGATGGCCCAGCCGACGCCCACGCTCACGCCCACGGCTCAGACCATGGACGCCCATCACCCCCTGCTGCGTCTGCTGCGGCCGCTGCTGCTCATGATGATGTTGATGATGGTGAAGCTTCTGATAAAGATGGTGAAGAAGATGAGGCTGAAGAGACCGATGATGATCTAGTTACTAGTTGCAGAGGATATAATTGATGAAGATGAATGAGGCAGTATGCGAATTGCATGTGATGGGCCAGGGATTCTTTGTGTCGTATGCGGTTCTTCGACCCTGACATGACTCAACACGAAGCAAAGGCCTGTGGTGCCGCATGGCTCCGCCAAAGGAATCGAGTTCGGATTCGAGTTCATCCAGATCGGTGCTTTCCGTCTTGGTGCAGTGGACGACAACCACTTCTCAATCGCGCGCTCCGGAAGCACAGAGTGAAACCTGCTCCAAGTTGAAATGTAGTCATGTACAAAAACCACTCTTTCTTCTCTCTCTTCTACCTCTCTCTCTCTCTCTTTCTCTCCCTCTCTCTCTTTCTTCTCTGTCTCTCTGTGTCTCTCTCCCTCTCTCTCTTTCTTCTCTCTCTCTCTCTCTCTCTCTCGCTCGCTCTCAGCCTCTCTCGTCTCTCTCTCTCTTTCTCTCTCTCTCTCTCTCTCTCTCTCTCTCTCTCTCTCTCTCTCTCCAGCGCGGATGTGTTTCGCGTCGGAGGCACAAGGGCGGGCAGACCATTCAGATCTACCGTCAGGATGGCACGCTGCATCCCGGACCCCGTACCGACGCCAGGCGAGAGATGTGTGTTTTCTTGGTGATAGTCTTTTGAGCAACGAGCTGGTTCGTCCTGCAGATAAGGACTGGAGCACCTGGGATCGCCGGGTGGGGAATCCTGTGGGGATCACATTCGGGGACAGGCTCCTTGGAGTTTCAGAAGTTTCAGGTCCGCATAGCCATGCAAGTTGAGCGGAAGGAAGCCAAAACAAAACGGCCATAGACAGGGGGCTACTACCGAGGTTCGTGCAGCTGGGAAATTTCCGGCTTGGGGATGCGGACGGGGGCCACTTCCTGGTGTCTCACATCAACGGATGGACGTGCCAGATCTACCGTTGGGATGGCACCCGGCACCCCGGGCCTCGCAGAGGGTGGGGCCCTCGCCTTCTGCACCGAAAGCCCATGGCCTGGAGCTGCGAGGGTATCGCAGAGATGGCCTTCGGACCCTGTGATTCGGACTTCGGAACATTTGGTGACCGCTTCATCCAGCTCGGGCAGTGGCGCATTGCGGCCATTGATGCCAACCACTTCTCTGTGTCCCACAAAGGTGGCAAGACTGCGCAGATCTACCGCAGCGATGGGACCCTTCACCCTGGGCCCCGCTCAGATTTCGGCTCCTGGAACCGTCCCACCGGCTTCCCCTACGGCATCACCTTCGGCCCCGGCTTCATTCAGATCGGGAACTTCCGCTTGGCAGCCATGGATGACACCCACTTCACCGTCTCTCACCGTTACCATGGTGGGCGGACGGCCCAGATCTACAGGAGCGACGCCACCCTGCACCCTGGGCCGAGGTCTGACTGGGATGCCTGGGGCCTCAGCGCGGGGCCGCCTACTGGCATCACGTTCGGGGATCGCTTCCTTCAGATTGGGAAGTTCCGCCTCGGTGATGCGGACGGAGGACACCTGGTCTTGACCCACGAGAACGGCAAGAGCCTTCAGATCTTTAGGTCCGATGGCCATGTGGTCCCGGTCCAGACACACCGCACTGCCGTGATCAATGCTCGTCCTGCCCACCAGCACTGCAGGAGCATCTATGCGGTCCTAGGCTCTTGTCCCGGAATTGCAACGGGTGAGAACTTCATGGAGATTGGCGACTGGCGTCTCGCCGCCATCGATGGCAACCACTTCTCTGTGTCACACAGGGATGGCAAGACTGCGCAGATCTACCGCAGCGACGGAACTCGCCATCCAGGGCCCCGCAACGACTGGGGTAGCTGGAGTTGGGAGCCCAAGAAAACCGGCTCGCACGGAAAGGTGCACTTTGGCGACCATTTCATCCAATTCGGCAACTTCCGGATGGGTGCTGTGGACGACAACCACTTCTCCATCTCCCACAACGGCGGCAAGACGATCCAGATTTTCCGTTCGGATGGCACCTTACATCCCGGACCTCGTGCTGACTTCGGCTTGTGGCACCACTCCCGCCCCATTCTGGACGTACCTTTGGGCATCACCTTCGGCGATCGCTTTGTGCAGATCGGAAAGTTCCGAGTTGGGGACGTGGACGGCCGGCACTTCTCCGTCGCGCACGTGGGCGGAAGGACCATGCAGATCTTCCGAGAAGATGGGACTTTGCACCCCGGCCCACGCAGCGACTTCACAACGGTTGGTCGCCCAATGCATGAGTGCAGGGTTGCGGATGTGGAGCTGTAATTGGCTGAGCGGCACTCCTTCGGTCTGTTTTCGGTCGTGCAAGAGCGCCCTGAGGGTGCCGAGCGGCTTTCCTCAATTTGTTTGTTTTTTATCGGCCTAAAGCTCTGTGCCAGCGCGCCTTTAAAGGGTGCGGAGTTGCCTTTTACGTGATGCCGTACACTTAATCGCGGCATCTGGCAAGGCGGCCCATAGGGCCATGAGTTCAGAAACGTTGGTAGTCTGCAGCCGCGGCCTCAGGCCCAAGACATCTGAGACCAGAGACGCTCCTCTTGCAGCATAGCAACGTGCCAAAAAATAGGACATCCCTGAAACATCACCCAGACATACCCAGACATTCGGAGCCGGTGAGTTTCTTCTGCCACTGGATCCCCAAAAGACGGCCCCTGATTCTGGCAAAGAGTACAGAGGGAGCAACTCCCAGGGCCCCTACTCCACGGGACCCTGCCTTCGAAGGTCTTCTGGCTCAAAGCGACCCCAAGTGCCGATATGATTAGGGGGCTCTTGTTTCTAAGATTTCCTGAAACCCCCAGGCCCCGAAGGAGCTCCAAAGAGTTGGTTTTTTTCAAGGTTTCCTCTGTCCGCAACATGGCCGCAGCAAGGCAGAACCACAAAGGGAGGGACACAGCGAGACCGCCAGCATGACGTGGACACCTGCCAAGTTTCCCAAGGCTTGTGTAGGTTTGCTCTAGTGTGAGTGCTATTTGGATGTAGCATCTTCTGTGAGGCATGGTTAGAAAGGCCTGAGCTTCGAATCGCCGACTGAAGCCATGGTTCCAGAGAGCCAAGACGAGGAGGCTGGGCCCGCTGCGAACGCACACCGTGAAGCCCAGTTATAAGTGTTATTAGTGGAGTTGTAAGTTCCCTAATTTAGGTTATAACTATAGTTACCCTACTTATCCCGCTCAAGATAAACCTACTTAGAACTACCCATGAACCTCCCATAGAAGCCAGCAGACCCCCAAAACCATCCTAAACGCCCTAAAGCTCTCCAGACTCCCATCGACCTCTAAACCCCGAACTCTGAAACCCCGTTATAAGCCCTAAGCCGCTTGAATCCGTGGCCCCCAAACACGCCCCCTTTCCCTACGCTACCAGGACTCCGAAGGGGCCAGAAACCCCTTCCACTTAGGGGGGTCCCTGTAGATCCGAAGACACCTACACCCACTGTTTCACCAGGGTTAGACCCTGTAGTTAAGGGGGCATGACCTGTAATTTTGTAGGGTTTGGGGTTAGAGGTCTACCTCACACCCTTCGACCGCAAACCCATCAACGCCACGTAGTGACGTAGGTGTCGGAATAACGAGCACAGTAGTGCAGTGCCCCCCTTGTAGTCCCTATTCAATTCTTTCTGTAACGGTTCCCCCCAACCTGCTTCTGATTTTTGCGCCCTTGCCCTAAACCCTATATGAGTGACCTGGTATGCCAGGCTGCTGAGCACCGCCACGGAACAGCTCGAGGATCCAATTGCATTTAGGGCTTCCGGGTTTAGGGTTTTTGGGGGTCAGGGGTTTATGGCTTTCGGGGCCGAATGCTGGCGGATTTTTTCACGGTTTGTGTAGGGGCTTCATCGTGTTTGACAGGGGCAGGGTGCTATGAGGGTCCTGTAGTAGGGTGTTAGAGGGCTTTATGGGGCTGTGTATGGCTTCATAGGAACGTAACGGTTCAGCAGTATATTGGATTTAGGATTTCGGCTTCAGGGCAATGTAGACCTGAAGTAGACCAACCGCCTGGCTTTCTGGATTAAACTGGGTAATCGTGGATACCATAATAGCCTCTTGATGCGTCAGCCCGCCACAGTGAGGTTTTTGTTCGGACCTCAGGCTCATAAACCCGAATCCGAAAATCGCAATTGAGCATTCTCAATGCTGAGCTTTGTAGTTGAAGACCTTTGAAAAGGCGGCCCATTAGCTTTGTGAGGTCGCCCCACAAGGCAACGACTGGCAAAGCTCTTTCAGAGCCGAGTCAAAGGGCAACAAAAACCCAGGAGCCGTAACCCCCCAAAAAGGCGAGCCGAGGCGATAAGCTCTCTGGGTTGGCGTTCTTTGGGGTTTAGGGACGTGTGGCTTTGTGGGCTTAGGCCGGGGGCTTTCGGGGTTTAGGACGTTAATGCTCAGCGTCTCCGGTTGAGGCTTAGGGCCTTAGGGCCTTAGGGCTTGCGGGGAGCCTGGTACCATCACAACATGGACTGCCATACATTTTCAGGTGCATTCCCTCATTAGCTCGCCGTTCAGGCATTGGTGCAGTGCGAAGGAATCGCTCCGCTCCCAGAACTGCCGGCGGCAGGTGACTACGGTCGAAAACGAAAAGAGCATGCGCTTTTCTTGTGGTCGGTGGCAGGCAGTGGCAGGGTGCTTCAGTTGATCCATGTGCAATGTAGCGAAGGCTTGCATTTGACCGTCTTTGGTTCGTCTGCAGCCTTTTCCAAACGAAAAGAAGACTACCCATCTTTTCCATTCGTGTCCATACTCAATGAAGCAACATTCATGGCCCTCATGGGCCGTGCTGTGGTCAGAGTCTCAGTCCCATATGGGACGCAGTAGTGCGGGGTTTTGGGGGTTTCGGGGCTTTTCATTCCAATCTTGCACTCAGGGCGATGCTGCCCTTAGCTGCTGCGATGAAGCTCGCACAGGCAAGGGAGCAATGGGAGGTCCCTAAACCTTAAACCCCTAAACCCGTAAACCCCTAAACCCTGTGCTTCGGTTCTTTGTGTGCTCAGAGCAGGAGTCGAACGCCACGTCGATGGAAGGGCTTGGCTCGGCCCATGTCGGAGGTAGTCGTGCTCTCCTATCTCGCTCCTCGCAACTGTCCAGAGGCCAAGATCGCGATGCCGAGACGTCAGATCTGGCTATTTTCAAGAAGAAGTTTTGGAAGAAGGCTGGTAAAACCATGGTGTCAGGCGGCAGTGCGGTGGGCGATGGTATTGTCAAGACAGGCAAGGCGGCCGGCGAGGGTGTCGCCAAGACAGGCAAGGCGGCCGGCGAGGGTATCGCCAAGACGGGCGAAGTGGCCTACAAGGGAATGGTCAACACAGGCAAGGCTGTCCTGAATACCGGCAACAGCCTTCTAAAACCCGGTACCCTCAGTTTCGAGACGCTTTCAAAAGCCGGGCTGAAAATTGGCTCCACGGGCTTCAACAGCGCCTTTGCCGTCGGGGGCAGCATCTTCCGTGGCGTCGTAGGCACTGCCGAAGCCGCGGGATCCGCTGCCGAGGAGTTTGGAGAAACTGTGGGAGACACAGCAGTGGAAGTGGGCACCGCAGTGGCCGAAACCGCACAGGAAATCGCAGAAGTAACGGTGCACCTGGCAGGTACCTGTAGTCTCCATTGTAGTTCCCTTTTTTTGGTTTAACCAGTTTTATCTTAAGGATTTTAAAGGGTAGCCCCAAAAAAGAACTACAATGGAGACTATAGGTACGGTCTATGAGCACGCCAAGAAAGGGGTTGAGCAGGGCGTCAAGATGGTCAACAAAGTCGGGAAGGCGATCGGCGACAAGGTGACAGAGCTAGGACAGGAGGTCGCCAAGCTTGGGCCATTGGTTGTAGGCCTGGCGAAATCCGCCTGGAATGAAATCAAAGACCTCGTCAGCTGCCTTCTGGAAGGCTTGACGCTCTGCTCCGTCTTGATCGGTGAGTATTGCGACTGCAACGCAGGCAGCCACATCAAGTTTTCGACGGACGGCATGGACATGAAATGCGTCTTCAAGGTGACCGCTGACTTCTCGAAGGGCTATGGGGTGACGGCGACTTCCACCGGGAAGTACGGCGTGATTACCGAGAGCGGAGTAGTCATGCTTCCCGGAAAGCAGCTCGAGCAAAGCTTCAAAGCGGCGGGGTCACCTCTCAGAGCCCGGAAGGCCATGGACGACTATTTATCGCCCGCGCCAGCAGGGTCCTGCGAAACGAGCTTGCAGGTGGCTGTTGATGGTGTGGTGCAGTTTGCCCCGGTCATAACCGTGAAGGTGAACACCGATGGCAAAACTGAGATGACGATCAGTGGAAGTGTTCGTTCATCGTTTCTCGTCTCACAGAGGTCTGTAAAGGCGTCATGAGGTTTTATCCACGACCCTAAACCCTAAACTCCTAAGCCCTAAACCCACGGACTATCCCTTCTTGAAAGCCCGGCCCAGGATTGACGCCATTGTCAAGGCCTCGGGCAGCTGCCAGTTCAAGGCCGAAAAGCGCTTTCCCGAGAAGCCCCTCAAGAAGGTCAGACTGGGTCCTTGTTGGATACGATTTTTTGTGCATTCTTCTTATAATTGGAACCCAATAAGGATTAAAAATGATCATATGTGATCATTTCAGATATTTTTTGTTATAATTGAACAAGGTCATCTGTGCCAAAGGCTTCTGCCTGGTCATCGCGCTTCAGATGGTGGCCGAGCTCGTGCTGAAAGGCACACTGAAAGGAACCATCACGACGTCCTCCGACGTGGATTTCGACATCAAGGGCGCGGTGACCGTCACCACGCAGGGTGATGCCACAGTGTCCTTCGAAACCCCCAACATCAAACACCAGGACCCCCAAAGTTCACCATGTTTGGATGCCATGATGCCATTTGGAAGTGCATTGCTGCACATCGGTCGCAAGATCCCAGTCGTTGCCTTAGTAGCCTTAGTGATTGGCTGCATGGGGCCGGAGATAGACCCGAAATTCTCAAGTCCGTAACAAAGGCCTAAACCTTCTACTGGGTTCCTCATCGAGAAACACGGCCCGAACTTTAGCTGTCGAAAGGAGGGCTGGGCGATTGGTGCCACTGCTCTGGCCTCTTTGCGCATTGGCGCCGGGCCAGTCCTCACGGTCCCGAACTCAGCTTGGCTGACATCTTGTGGCGGTTTTTGCGCGCGTGAAACCAAGCCAGGTCTGGCCCATGCCCGGTACCTGGGCACTGCTCGGAAAGGCTTGTGTGCTTCTCTCCTTTTTTTTGTCGTCTCAACAATGCAAGCCAAGCTGCTAGACCCTCTGAGCTGCCAAGCCCGAAAGCGCCGACAACCCGAGGCGTG